GCTGGACAGCGAAATAGAAGAGGAATAAACAGGACTACACTGAACATACCTCTCCTTTTCCAAGTACTGTGACACAGAGCACAGCAGGACACAAAGTAACTGAAAGAGATGGATTTCTAATGTGCTGGATTGCTGCTTATGAGTCCAGAACTGCTGAGCACATTGGCATTTTAGAGTTTTCCTTCTCATTCCCTCAAGAAAACAAAATCGCTGAAGGATTATGCAGTTGGTTAAGGAAGCAAGGGAACATTTTCCAACCGAGTTATACTTCAGTTGCTGAGGAATAAGTGACTAATAAAGGAGCATTTTCCTAATCCTTCTTTTCAGTTTCCATCATAGGAATTTGAGAAATAAAGATATGGAAAATTATAGGGAACTGTTTTCAGCTTTTCTGAAATTGCTTTTCTGTACCTTTTCCTTTAATTTTCTTTACACAGGCATTTTTGAATGTGTGCAGCAATGCTTGAGAATGGGTTTTTGCAATAGCTATTCTGATATTTCAACTCTTATCCTTCTTGATGACTCATAAATGTTTAGGTACAAGACTGTCCACATTTGTTTTTCACACATCTCCCACTTCAAATTATTACATTCACTGATGCTCTTTTTTGTTTTTCTAGGACTATTTCAATTCATAATTTTCTAGCACCTGATGTTCTCCTATGCTGTGGGAACTAAAATTCTCCCCACCCCCTTTCCTCTTGGTGCTTGCTATGTGATGAAAGACATTTGCCTTTGTAGTCACTCTTATGTAAATATTCCTAACTGTTTATTGTTCCTCCTAGCCAGGATTATTGCAGGAGTTCTGAGGAAGTTTGCAAACCTGCCCATTGCTCAGATGAGTCACAGCACTGTGGTCCTGTTCCTCTGCACTGGCTGAAAGTGCCTGGTGTTTCTGATGAGTTCATGGCAGTTATAAACCTTGTCTCTTGCTGCATCCCAGTCCTGATAGTTCTCCTTCAGCTTTCTACTAATTCTTACCAGTTTATTTAAACCTACACAGTGTGACAAAGCTTTTCACTCCCCGGAGTGGCTGCACTGAAGTGACAAGTTAATTGGTTCATTTGTACGTGACTAAGGTTTGCAGGAGGCTCTGAGCCTCCCTGGGTGTGGGTGCTGTGCTGCCTGGGAGCTGTTCTGCAGGGAGGATGTAACTCCAGCACAGAGTGGTCAGCGCTCAGAGCACTGCAAAGCTTCTCACATGTGCAACACAGTTCAGTTTTGCTGCCACAAGAACAAGGAACGGGGAGAGCTGGAGGTCCAGGCTTGCCAGTCCTGCCTGGAGGATGACAAGACAAGGATGGGCTTCTTGTGTCCAGCAGTCCCTGCTGTGCTCACAGCCCGGCTCCTCCACCAGAGCCAAGCAAAACAACAGCTGTGCCTTTCCCCACACAGACATAGCAGGAAGGAAAGTCCTCTCTGTTCCCAGCAGCCTTCTGGCCTGTGCCTTCCTCCAGAGCTGATGCTCTCTGCCAGCTCTGCAAACAACTCAGAAAGGGTCACATTTTTGGACTTGCCCAGATTTTGCTGTCTTCGTTTTTGGAAACGCTTACTGAAAAATGTTTGAAGTTATCTGAAAGTTCTTAAAAATTTGGAGTGTCAGGAATTCACCTCCTGGTGATGGAGGAGTTGGGTGCCCTAACATCTGAGAACTTCGGTTGGGGCTTGTTACTCCCTGCCCACGCTGCAGGGGTACAGCATGTTCTGAAGCTTTGCAGGAACAGTACTTCTGTAATCAGCTCATGACGAAGAGATAATTGAGCCTTGAGAGGCCATAAGATTTATGTTGGAAATGGGGAATATATATTCTGAATATGAGTTTGTATTTGTAGATACCAAGACTTTTTTCAGGGCAATCAACTTTTTGATTTATAGTTCAGACATTGGGCAGCAACTCATAGAAGAACACTCAGCTCTCAGTATCTGTCAGGAAAGTGCCTCATGTTTTTAAACTGACTTGCCTAATGAGATTTATTGTGACCTTAGAGAAGTAGTATAGAAAAAGCCCTCAAAAGTAAAGCCTTCAGCATCATCAGAACCTGCTCTCCTCATCGTACCCACTGCAGTGATGCCCAGACTCCTGGGAAACAGGGGGTGTGGTTCCACAGCGAGGAGTGAAACTGTGATTGAGCCTTGTCTTTATGTCCCAAGGTTTGACTAACGTTTAGTGACTCAGGAGGCAAACTGCCTGTGAAGAGTGTGATTTCTGAGGTAGCACAAAGCTTTTGCCCTGGAGCCTTTAGCAAAGAGATCTGTTTCCTTTGTATTTCTGACTGAGACTGTTTTGACAGAAGAATAGCTGACTCTTTATGTTTTCTCTGTGTTTGCCAGCATGTGTTTTATGTGCTTACATTGCAAAACTATAAATCCCAGACTAAACAGATGACAAATTCCAGAGTGTGTTTTAACTGAGGCTGGCTGGTTGCAGCAGTGTCTGCACCCATTACCTCCCCATCCCTTGCCTGAGCCATAGGCTCCCACCAGGAGGGGAAGTGTCCTTCCTTCCCCACAGGTAACTGCAGAGGTCTCAAAGTATGAGCTTGAATTGTATTGATTTGGGTAATTGTCTGCTGCAGATCAGAGAAGTTACAAGTATCTCAAGGACACAGCAAGCAGGTTTGTGGGGGTTTTTTTCCCCTTGTGAGCCTACCCCAAGAACATAGATTTTTGTTTTTGCTCTCTACACAAGCAGAGATTGTCTCTGAAGTGCTGAATCAAAGCCCATCATTTAGAACACTCTGATCTTGTGTTGAGAACTGCAGGCTTAGGCAGTGCCCCGGGGCCCTCTTGGATACCTCCAGTTTAGTTACCCCAGAGCCACGTAGCCATCCATGTTTCATTTTGGGTTTGGATTTGTGGCACCATCTAACAGATGTTTAGTGATTGTTTTCTGCATGTTAAATTATCCCATTTAAAGGAAGGAGGGAGGCAGACTTTTAGCATTTGTGAAGCTAGTCTGCTTTTTAAGCTGAGGATTGTACCAAATGAGTTTTAGGGAAGAGTGGAAAAGCAAAAGAAGCGATGGCCAGACTATTTCTTTTAATGGTTGCATGAGCCTCTAAATGAACTACTTCACTAAATTCCAATTTGGTGACTTGAATGGTGAGTGTTGGGATAAATATCTTTGAAGGGAAGCAATAAAGTGCAGTAAGTAGTGACAGGAATTTCACTTTTCACTTTTTCATGACAGCAGACAAAAATCCAACAACTTCATTCTCTCCTGGTATTCCTCTTGGTTTTACATGAGATGGACAGGGATATTTTTTAGTGCCACATTTTTGATACCTGATTTAGAGTTCTGCAAAGGATAGGATTCTGTATGAATCTGTTGGTTGGTTATTTATGAACAAACATTGCATTATGATGCACATGAAAATTTGTTGGGTTTTTTTCTTATTTTCTGTGATATGTTTAGGTTTTGCTCTGTTCTGTGGTTATAAATGAAAAGTTTTATCAACATAAATTGATTTAAGATAGTGTGATTCCAAAACTTCACAGCAACAGAATTCAAAGCTGGGGCATACTGGTATAATGTAATTGAAGTTGATGCTCTTGTACCTGTTTGTGCCACAATACATTTATTTTTATGATTTCCTTGCCACAAAGACAGGCCCTAACTGTTTTTGAGCAGTATTTTGCCAGCCTTTGTCAGCTGCATCCCATCAGAAGGAGTCAGCAGTGCTCCACACCAATGCACTGGGGCTCTCCAGGGGCAGTGCTTGCAGTGCCTGGAGCTGCAGAGCCACTGAGGGTGACAGGGAAGACTCCACCTGCACCATCCTGGGAGGCCCATGGTGTAGCTGTGTCCTCCCTGCTCCTCTGGCCTCCTGTGGGACAGACAAAATGTTGAAAATGGAGAGTGTGTTACTGGGGGATGTGATGACTTTGGGCTGAGACCCAAATAGCTTCTTTCTATTGCCTTTGTAATCTGCTGGTCCTGTGCAAGTGGTAGAAATCACAGAGGTTTTGGTTGCAGTAATGCAAAATAAAGTCAAGTTTTTATCTTTTTAAAGATTGCACGTGAACTTCTGCCAGTATAAGAATGTATCTTTTCTTTGACTGGGATCTGCTGCTGGCAAGTGATTGTCCTTCCAAATGACCTCGTCTTCTTATAGGTGTATTTTCATTGGTGAAATAACCATGCACCAGCCTTCTAACTCTTGCTTTTACAGTGCTTCTGAAAAGGTATCCCTGAAGGACACTGCCTCTTCTCCCTTCCTTCCTGAATTTGTTTTCCTGTCTTTTGGTGTGTTCCCTGTATTCTTTAGAGAACGGGATTATCCCATTCTTACATTATTAGGTAGATGGACTGAAAGGCTGGAAGTTTTTCACAAGTTCCTTTGTTCCTGCTGTGCTCCAGATACACAAATAATAAGTTTGGAACTGTGAATCTTAAAGAAATGTTTTATATAATTTTTAAGCAGGATTTAGATAGCTGTATTGAGTATGCTCCAGTACTGGAGCATATTGAATACATTGAATATGGTTTGTCTTATCAGGGACTTAACCTCCACCTTCACTGTTTATTTTTGGAAAGAGATGTAAAATAAGGGCATGTGTGTAAGACTGGTGAACTCACGTTTTCAATCTCATTCAGCAGTTTAAATAAACTAATTGGTTATTGTTGTTTCAATTCTAAATTATCTATTGTCATTTCTGTTGGTTTGGGAGACCATTTTGCATCTCAAGATATTTATTACTCATTTTGAGAACATAGATAGAAAGATAACAGGGCAAGACGTTTTGTAGCTTGGTTTCTCCCGCTCGGTATTTTTTTAACAGCATCCCTTAAAATAGAAATGCAAAACTACGTGTCCTACTTTCCCCTCACTAAAATAGATGCCTTTTGTTAATTTTAGACACAGCAGAGCAGGATATGTAATTAATGATATCAAAGAATCCATATGATATTCAACAGGGTCTTAACATCAAGGACAAAAGAAGTCTGACAACAGCTGTCCCTAATGATTTGGTTTGTAAAATGTTTTCTTTTATTTCAGGAAGTTGGATGCTTTCATCTACGATGCAGCAGTGCTGAATTACAAGGCTGGAAGAGATGAAGGCTGCAAACTTGTCACAATAGGGAGCGGATACATCTTTGCCACTACCGGCTACGGAATTGCACTTCAGAAAGGATCACCTTGGAAGAGACAAATCGATCTCGCCCTCCTTCAGTTTGTGGGAGATGGTAGGCACCAACCTTCTTTCCTCTCTTTTCTTTCTCTCTGTATGCACAGTTCATATAGTTTAAGTAGCTCTGAGCCTTTTTAGTACTGTTCTCTTGCAGTCTTAAAAAAAAAAGGAAGTAAAACAAATGAGTAAAATTACTTCTTGATGCTGAGACAGGAATTCTCTTCCACTCTGTTCTAACTCACCTCACTGCCAAGGACATCTGCATCTCTTTTTCAGGCAGTGTTTTCATATACATCACAAATTAAAGCTGGTCTTAATGTTAGGGAGCATTTATAAATTTATTATTTTGCCTTTGAGCAAGCCCTGAAGATGAGGGTAGATGAGTTCTTTGGTAGATGAGTTATCTTTCTACATGACCATTTTGCTATTAAAAAGTGTTTAGCTCAGTTGTGGACTGATGTGAGTGATCCCTCACGTAGGATGGATTCATTTAAACTTCTGGTGAAAGAATATCTGTGAAATTGAATTAGATTGACTGGTTTCATTGAATTTCAAACAACTATTTTTCATTCTAACACAAAATGGAAGCATTGTAGGTCCTCTTGGCACTTCTGCCCTGCAGAAGAAAACTTACTGCACATCTTTGATATATTTGTAAACAGTAATGATGACTCAGTCTCCACAGAGGGCTTGAACTCCTTTCTGATTGTAGAAATAATTCTTTGGCACAGGGAAACTTCTATGTGCAAGCAAATAGAAATATGGTGATTAAAAAAAATTGTATGTTATGACTGACTAAAATCTTCTATCAGGTTGGAATACAGTGTGTGTTACATAATCTTTTTTTTTCCCTACATAGATATATGTGTTGACTTTACATTTTTCTGTCGGTGAAAGAGAGGGCTTTATTGAAAAATAAATATGGACTTAAGGTCACCAATGGCATGTTGTTGAGACTAAGAATGGCAAATTTCAGTGTAACAGGAATGGCAGAGTGCAGGGCCTGTTCCATAAAAAATAACATTCATTTTCATACTGCAGGCAATAAGGGTGTTAGTCTTCCAGCACATGGATTTTATTCCTCTTATAATGCTAAACGACTGGAAGAGGTGTAACCATCCTGGCTGGTGCATCTTGTCTGGTACACATACAGAGATATTAGTGACATCATTATCGACCTGTTGGATTTAGAGAGGCTAATGAGGAAACATTGCTTACTTGGGTGAAGGAATGGATAGATGACCTGCAATGGCTACATTTCAAGCATTCACATACTCTTGTGCTAAACAGTTGCAATTGATTGGCTAAAATATTTGATTTATTTTTCTATTTAGAAAATTTCTTTCTTTTTGTGTAGTATATTAAGAATTATTAGGTTTTATAATTCCAACCCGTTTTTAGATGGGCAGGTTGAATCAGAGATATTGACTTATTTGTCCCATACTAAAGAAAAAAAAACTTCTGTATCCTGAAGAAGAATCTGAGTTGATTTTTTTCACTGTGGGCTGACCCCTCTAGGTGTTACCAGAGCATCACTCAGGTTTTCCTTCTTTTCACTTTGTATTTCCTTCATGCTTCATCTTTCATCATTTTTGATGCTTCTCATCCAACAAAAAGAAATTAAATCACAGGAAAGAAAATAAATGAAATAGAAGGGAAAGCAATTGAAGCTATTTAAGAAAAACCTCATCAAAATACCAAAGGTACTGCATTTTTATGCGTCACTTTGTCTCTGAATACCAGGGAGAAAACAGAGTGAATGGGAAGAAAGCCTGAAAAATCTTATCCTGTATTTACACTTTGACCTGTGGACTTACTTAGCATACAAATGCTTATATCTTTAACCCATTTTTAGTAGCTGAAAACAATACAAATGAATTATTTATGAAACTCAGTATTAAAACCTTTCTATGAATAATTTATAGAATAGCAATAGATACAGTGGACACCCAGGTGAATAAAACCTTGTCACGAAATATCTGCTCCCTTGTTCATCTTGCTCAGATATTACTTCAGGAGATAAGCAAGTGCTTTGAAGCACAAACCATGGGGATTGTGAGTGTGTTGATGGCATTTTTAAGTAGCTTTAGAAGCTGCTCTGAACAACCCATGAATGTTAAAATGTTAATTTTCTCTTGTAAAGGACTCCTAAATTTGTTCAGAAAATGGTGTGGGCACTATTAACGAGAACAGCAGTTGGACATATGTGATGTGTAGGAATTATTGTAGGCATGCTTCTTCTAGTCCCAGAAACCTTTGCTACCTTGTCTCACTTTGCTGTGTCACAGGTCTAGATGATAATTTTCGGGAAAAAAACACCCCCAACAACCAAACAAATGCAGGAAAAGAAGAAAAAGAAAAAACACCCTCCCCCCCCCCCCAAGAATGAAATTTCTTCTACTGATTTACAAAGTACATTGCAGGTGAACTGGAATAAAACACCAAGAAATTAAATGTAAAGAGTAATTGCCTGGAACTAGCGTGACCTGATTTTGTAATCTACGTCCAACTGCAGTAGTTCGATGGATAATCTTTTTAGCTATGAATTTACATAACTCTGTTTTGGTGAACTAGAAGGGATGAACTCGGAGTTCAGACCAACATCACTTTGCTATATCACTAAAAATCTCTTTGAAGTTATCTAGACTAAAAGCAAGTATGGTTGGGGGGAAGTTTCATCTTAAGATGATACTCCTGGGAAAGCCTCAGAGGAGCCTGGATGAGGTTGTTTAAGTAAATAGGCAAACACAAATGAAGGCAGAAATACTTCTTTCACATGTAGAGCCTCTGCAGAATATATTATTCTCTTAGACTAAGCCTATAAAACAGCAAAGCCCCTGGTATTATTGAATTACTATTCAGTGTATGTAATAGAGCATCCATCACAGTATGGAATAATTTCAATGAATGATTATAAATGTAATGAGTTTCATAACTCTAAGGAAAAATATCCTAATGAGTTCAACAAACACAATTTCTTTATATGTATATTATGTTAATAAGAGGAGAAAACCTTTTGGATTATACTAGATTATACTTGGATAAGACAAAGTGATTTTTTATCTCATTGCACCTGCAAGAAACCATGATCTCATCTCTCTTTTACATTTACCCAGTACTGAGATGGCCTTTTGAAATGGATTTTAGAGCTTCCAATTTCCTCTGCGTGTGTCTTTCTCCTGTGATTTTTCTGATTTGATTTTTCCTTCCTGCTCCTATATCATTCTCCTATCCAAGCCAGATCACTTAGACATTGAAATGAAATTTTTGTGCAGTGAATAGGAACCTTTTCCCTCTTCCTTGCTGATGTAAAACATTCGACTGAAGAATTAATGATTTGTTCATGATGGGGCATCTTTTCATACTTCTCAAAGCGTGATGCTTTTTCTGCGTTAAAGCCAATGGCTTTGAACCCTCTTTTTAATCTTGTTGACACTGGAAAAAAAAATGAAGTAAACACAGAGGGATGTAGGTTTGTGTTAGGGATAACTTCAAGCTTAGGATGGGTGGTTTATATGTGTCTGCATGAGCAGTGTTCTGCTCCTGAGGATACTTCTACTGAGTGGACAAATTATACTGACAATTAGCAATCACACTGTGAAAGCAGCTCTGAAGTCTCAGTGGAAGGAAGCAGGCTACAGGATGCCAAATTTGTTCCTCTAACAAAGAGGAAAAGAGACAGAGGAAAGGAGAATGGGAATCAATTGCTGAGGAACTGACAATTTAATTGTCTCAAAAATATAATTATCCTCAAAATGTTTCATCCCTTGGTCTGTGCAAGTTCATATACATATCCCAGTTCATGGGAAGCTGACATCAGTATGCATTTGTTAGTACAAGATTAATTGCTTTGGAACACTGAATCTTTTTAATAGAAAGAGTTAGGAGTTGCTTTTTCTTGTATAAAGGATCTGAGTGAAGTGAATTTCTGGCTTTGTTCATCTTACTACCTGTGCAGCACATCTCATTATCTGCAAAAGCTTCCAGCTGATGATTACCATCTGCAGCTTTGTTTAAAGTAGTTGATCACTGGGATGATTCTCTGAAGCACAGTGGTGGTTATGCTTCCTTTTCTTGGCTTGCTGTGGTCACAAGGCAAAGCTTCCATTGTTTTTTAGCAGAGAAATAACAACACTTCTACTGAGACACAGAAGACAATTTCTCAATCTTCAGCTGAGAAATAGAAGCACCCAGGAGTTCAAAAGCAACCAAAATGATACGGCTACTAAGAAACAGCACCGTCATTTTGTTTGGATCTTCCGCCCACAGCCACAGGAATGTGTCAGAGCAGAAATGTTGAGCGCTGAGGGATCGCATGGGACATGCTTTGGTTTCTTTTATCAACCTCTGTAGGAGCAGCTGGGCAGGCTGACGTCCCCAGCACCCAGAGTGTTACCCTGGCAGCTGCCAACTGCTGGTGGCACATGACTTGCCATTCCGTGGTGCAGGAAAGGCTCAGGCACACAGTGAGTCTGTAACACTTGGGGAAGGCACCCATGTCCCTCCAACCTTCTGCAGCAGCAACCCTTGGCCAACTCTCTGAAGGCCCAGGTATTGCTAATGCTCCTCTGGCTTGGGCTGAATGTGCCATTTAAAGCAGAAGAGTACTTTTCTAAAAATATCCTGCAAAAGACATTGTTTCTGAAACCCATGGCATCTTTGGGATTTGGAGTAGAACCACTGGTGCCTGGCAGGTGAGGAGAATTTAGCTTTCTCTTTTTCTCTGTCTTTTTTTTCTTCTCTCACTCTTTTCATCTGTCTCCCCCCCCCCCCCCCCCCCCCCCCCTTTTATTTTTTCATTTGTAAGAAAGTGAGATTATTGAACTCCAAATGACAAAGCTGCCTCAGGATTAAGAGAGTAAGAGGGGTTCAGAGTGTGCATGGGATGGAGAGAAAGACAGCAAGAAGCCTTTAGATATGAGGCATGCAGCAGAATAGAGGGATAAAACACTTGTGACAGCAGAAATGGGTGGAAACAAGGAACAGAAAATGCTGGGTAAAGAGAGAAGTTTTGGGGAGGAGTGGGAGAATATCAACCAGTTGGCCAGGTTATGC